TAACCCCTCTCGATTTCCTTCCCATACTTGGCTTGGCTTGGCTCTTTAACCGCAGAATTTATGGCTGGGAAATGAAACATAAACAAGGACAGGAAGTTGGCCAAAACAATGCGAATTGGGAAATGCACTTAATATGGTTTTTATAACTTAAATAACCAACAAGTAAAAGTATTTTAATTTAATTCATATACAATTAATGGTACCTTGCCTTGTAATTAAGCTTACCAGTGATTGCCTTTGTTAAGTTTGGCTAATCAAAGTGCGTTCATTTCTTGATTTTAATAAGCTATATCTACGACTATATTTAAAAGCAAAGCCTTTGGGCAAACACTTGGCAATTAATAATTAATCTATGCGAGTTCACACCATAACCTGGTAGTTAATAATAAGATTCATGGGTAAGGTAGTCCAGCCATACCAACTAAGTAACCCGATTGGGCGAAGAGCATTTGCCAGCGGGCAGATGTAGAAGCAAAAGCGTGTTAGCCAAATGCTGGAGGAAAAGCTTGAGAAGATTGCAATGAAGTCGCTACCTGGGTGGAGTTTTATTGCAGTCAGCGCGTTGGCTGCCTCACCCACGGAAAATCAAACCACCCAGCAACCCCACTCTGGTAATGGCATGAAAAACCGCAGAAAATTGCTGTACATCGAAAGAAAAGCCACGTTAAGCTAAGCTCGTGTAGATGAAACTGGCTTTTTGCACAATGAGATTTATTTATCGTGATTGTGTGCTTAATTGAAAATTGTTTGCCAGCTTCTAGATGAGGCGGAAGGTGGAGAAACTCATGGACCACCCGCCTGAGATGTGTTTGGAAGCAACAGGAGTCGTTCTTAGGGATTGGAATTGGGTATTGGGTTGGGTGATATACTATACCATATCACCATGACCCTACTTGCCTTAACTGTATTTTTAACACACATTTTTATTGACACACATTTCAGCCCAACTTTCAGTTACCAGGATCCCAGATCTTAGATCCCATCCCCATCTCTTACCCATTTCTAGACAATTTGTCAACGACATGGCAATGATACAGCACAAGAAAAAGCGACAGCGGGAAAACTGTAGCCAACTGTAGCAAAATGAAAATGTCAGTGGCAGTAGCAACAACAAGAAGAGTAACATGCCCCAATCCATCGAAATAGTTAAGTGGATACGAGCACAGTGAATGAATCCATCAACCGCCCATGGTGCCCCATGGTATCCTACTGGCAGCCAACCGAAGAAGCCTTTTCAATCACATTACCAAGTGCCAGGCGATGTCCTCCAATGGGGATGGAAAAGGGGAAATGGTTTGAGCTTGAGTTTCGGAAAAACCCAGCTAGGGAGCTACTTAGGCAGAACCTTTTGCTAAGGGTTTTCTGGCAATAAAATGGAATATTTTAGGAGGTAGAAAGAGGCTTTTGTTAGAAGTTTACTATATTACATATTAAGGACTTACTAGAAAAATTATAATACAATCTCTAAATAATAATTTTCCCACTTTTCCCCTCCATCTCACTCTAATCAAAAGTCAATATAGAAAATTCCAAATTGGAAAAACAAGAAGTGAGCATATGTTTCCAGTCACCTAACATGGAATCAGCGGGAATGGCATTATAGAGATCTCAGCCACATATCCCACAAAGCACCCATCACCACCCCCATCACAGCCGGAATTAGCTCTCGCTTTTCGCCGTTGGTGGTCCAGGAAAATTCCATGAGCCACAAGAATGGAAAGTACTTTGCAGGATAAGCGCCCCGTGGCATCCTCGGGAAAAGCCCACCCACTCTACGTCGTTGAATTGATTTTGTTATGTGAAGTGCTCTTCTCCTTGAAGGAGAGGAAAGGGCGAAATATACCCCGGGAAATTGTTTTATTTCTGCCTTTGACTTGTTGCGTTTTCCATTTGATGGCCTGGCCGCAAGCCTGAGTTTATGATATGGAAATCAATTTGCTCCTTTCCCACAATTAGGATTCCAGATTCTGGCCTGCTGCAGCGGCAAGCAGCCCATCAAGCAAAGCCACCATAAAAAATGGCCAAGAAAATCTTTATGGGCGAGGGCGTGCCCGCTCACTAACAAATGCCAGTCGCAAGGAGCTGTTAAAAATCATGGCACTAGGATGATGAATACGCACAGTGGGGCAAGCTCTGTTAATATTTATTCAAAAATATAAAATATGTTTTTATGAGAAAAAAAAATTATTATTTAGATATTTAAGCAATGGTCGAAAATAGTCGAAGAAAGCACCTTGATGGAAAATCTGACCAATAATAAAGTTTAATTATGATATAGATTTCGACTTTCTTTTTATTTATGCAAGAAAAAAATCTTTTTAAATAATAGAAATTATGAAAACATTTTAAAAACTTTAATATTTTTTATTTTACTTTTATTTGTGTTGAAAATGTTAATGATTATATTTTATAGATATATTTTATCCATTTTATTGCAATCACAGTTTTGTACATTATTTTTATTTTTATCAGAAAATCACTTTTATGATCCCACTGTGCTTGATTTCAAAAGCTTAAGCAATGAAACGTGTGAATTTTATGAGCTCGCTGAAATTTAAATGGGTCTCCAGTTTAATGACGAATTCTGCAGTGTGTGAGCGAGAGAGAAAGAGTCGTGTAAGGTGAGACAGAGAAAGAAACTTCGAGTGAGTAAAAATTTTAGCAAGGAATATATTCTTCGTTTTTGCCATGTTTTTCGTTTTTTAGTTTTCATTTTCCGGTTTTTACCTTTCCACTGCCGCTGAATCAGTTAATACCTCCGCTCTCTCTTCTCACCCCTTTCTCCTTTCCACCTTAACTGGTGTCGTCTGCTCGCTGCTTGCGTCAATTACTTAATTTTAATGGCCTTTATTATGCATACACACTGACACACATGAATATGCACACACAGATTGGAAAGTGTAAAACACTCACATTTACAAGCTCATAAACAAACCCTGCAACGTTGTGGCCCATTAAAAAAACCGTCAACACAACTCGAGTTGAGACCACAAGTCGATAAGCGAAGTGCGGCAGGGGGTGTTTGTGGGTGGCAAGATGCTGGCACTGTGGCAGAACCAAATGAAGGGAGTTGGGGGAAGATTAAAGGTGTTTTTTATAAACACTCAAAATGTGATCTTAATACCTTATATTCTATAAAAATATATTGAAATATGTTCTTGCTTTTTACTATTTTTTTAAGAATATTTGGATATTAAGAGAATTAAGTATGGCATTTTAGAGAATTAGTATTTAAAAATAAGTTATTTGACGTTGAAATTTTTTTAAATGAAAGGGTACTGGAACTGAATTTATATTCTAATATTCATATTTTAAAGCTTATGATTCCTTAAGAATTTTAAATTGAAATATGGTTTTTGGTTTTACACATTTTAACACATATTTAAGAACTGAAAATTCATGAAAGTTTTTTCCACAAGAAGAAAAAAAGTCCAAAAATTGACTTCTTAAAAATTGGTTTCACCTTTTTATTATGTCTAACTAACCTTTGTTTAACCTTTGATTATAACTGAAGATATATTTTCTGATGCAAAAATGATTATTATTTTTTTTAACTTTAAACCAGTGTCTTAGCTTTTAAATGAATATTTAAAAATGTTTGTTAAAGTTTTAAATATATATTTTAAGGTTTAACAAGATTATATATATGTAAACCTGAAATTCATACAAAAATCATAGAGACAATAATGTTAGGTTTTTAAAGAAGCAGCAGAAATTCATAGCAATTATTATTATTATAATTTATAAGTAAGTCAGCAAAGTAAGTCTTATTTTCCAATTCAAACTTTCAATACAAAACCTTTTACAACGGTTAAATATTTTTCAAAACCCACATCAAAACTCACCTCAAACGAAATCCAATTCAAAGTGCAATTTTTGCCTTCATGAGTTTCTAATTTCCAATTTGTTTAAGGGATTTCTTCGACGTCTTGTAATCACTCTCTCACGCACAAACTCACACACCGAAACACAGAGATGAGTATGAAATTTGTTTGTATATATTCCACTTGTTGCCAACGGCACACACACACGTGTGTGTTTGGATGTGTATGTGCTTTCCTTCTTCTCTTTTTGTTGTTGCTGTATTTTTTTTTGTTTACGAGACGCCCAGCAACAAATAAACAAAAGCCGAAGGCGACGACAGCCAAAAGCAACAAGAGTGAAAACAACAACAACAATAACAATAACTTTGGCGACAGCGACGCAGGTGTCGCAGACGTGTGACGCTGTTGTTGCTGTAATTTGTTCTTGTTTTTGTATGCTATGCGAGTTATCAGAAAAACGAACGAAAAGCACTAATACCAGCACAAAAGTAAAAACACACACATATACAGCTACGCACAAAACCGTAAAAATATTTCAGTCACAAGAAACAAACAATTTGTTTATAATTTTAAATACTACATCTGTAGATTTTTAGTTTAGTCACAGAACTTTGTTATCATAGAAATTAAAAATTGTTTGGCCTGTTAACGTGGTTAATAAATCTCACAAAGTTTTTAACAACACAATAGTTAAAATTTCGTTTTTTGTTATAAAAAAGCGTAAAGATTTTTTAAGGTCGGCAAACGACTACGCGGTATTTACCAGCACTAGGTAAACAGCTGTTTTGCTGATAATTAACAGTTGGTTAACATATGCTTAACAGTGGTGTTCAGGTTACAGTATTGCCAGCAGTAAATTTAAGAAAATTTTTAGTTTGAATTAAAAAAAAATTAAATGTGTTGATAAAAATACTAAGAAATCATTATTAATTAACTGAATTAAGTTAAGAGTTATTTTAAGATAAGTAATATCATAAATAATTTATAAAAATGAGCTAATAGTAATCATAGCTGAATGTTGATTATACCCAGTAATGAAGATTATCGAATACTGTTTATTATATTTAATAAATTACTGTTATAATTTGTTAATTTATGTAAATTTATAAAGAATTTATTTTTCCACCAATTGGCAGCTCTTCTGAGACAGCTGATTTCCTACAAACGCTTACCAACACTGCCCCACATGCTCCACAATTTTTGGTTGCCTTTTGCGGCTGATTTGTCACTGCCTCTTAAAATCAAGTTAAAGCCCTCCATATATGATATTTAAACTAAATACTAAGTAGCCATGAGTGCCAGCGAGGAGTTCCAGACCTGGCTTAATGACCAGCTGCGAAAATTGAATACGGACGAGAACGTCTTCGGCTCGTATATCATTGGAATTTTGGAAGGCGACGAGACGACAGAAGAGAAAACCGAAGCTCTCGAGGGAATTCTTAGCGAAACAGGGGTAAGTTTAACTAAATGAAAGAAAACCCACTTTTAAACCTAAATCCCCTTTTCAGTCCGCCAATATCGACGAACTGGTGGCCACAATTCTCCAGAAATGGCTGCAAAGCCATCCCAGCGCCGATGATCCGCCGAAAAAAGGTTTGGACATCGATGTAAGTGCCCAGTTGGCCAAGTTGCTGGAGCAACAGAAGCTGCAACCCGCCGCCAACAAGGAATACACGGAGGAGGAACGCCGCATCAAGCAGCAAATTTTGGCTCAATACTCTCAGGTTATTTTTGTTTTAAAATCGAATTATATCCGGTTTGGATTTCGATGATTTTAAGGCTAATTCGTCACAGTCATGGCCCATATGGCTTCTGTAGTTTAGTTTAATATTAAACTTTATTGATCAAAGCCACAGATTATCTCAAAAATGTACTTATTATGTCTGTTAGTAACCCAAAATTACATTATATCCGGTTTGCTGCTCTCAAGGTTATTTCGCAGTTTCTCACTTATACAAAAAATTAGTGCCACCTCAGCATTATAGATATAAATAAATTTATTTAATAGCTTCGTAATTCCCTAAAAGTGAGTTAACTGCCTATTTATGTAAATATTTACAGCTAAATGTGTATTTTCACGAGAAAGTAAAGTCAAGCTGCATTCCTAGTATTCTTAGGTTATCTTAAAAATCCCAATCTATCTGGATTTCACAGCATTCCGCTGATGTGAGTGCCGGTTCATTAATTCTTATTACTTATTCTTATTAGAATTAAGCACTATTCATTGATTTTGCTGAAGACAGTCTTATCAACTCGATTTAGGCCATTTAAGCTCCTCATCAAAGCACTTATAAACTATTAAAATATCATCTAAAAGTGATTAGTTATAATAATCAAAGCTTTTTACCTTTTACAGACTGCTGTTGCGAACGAGGACGAAGACGATTCCCAGGAGGAAAGCGAAGATGAAAGCGGAATTTTGGCCAAGAACACCAACAAATCGGATGTGCAAGCATTGGCCAAGGAAAAGCGAGAGCAGGCCAGGATAGACAGTGCCGCCAAAAAGCAAAAAGATAAAGAAGATCGCGAAAAGCAAAAGCAACTGAGGGAGGAGAAGAAGGAAAAGCGGAAAACCGTGAAGGGAGAGCGACGTCGATAGCCGCCCTCGAATCGAAATTTGTAGTCTCTTCCTGTAAAACCGATTTATATAACTTTGTAAAGTACATAACGCCCATATGCAAAAGCTGTTAGAAATTTTTTTGGATATATACGATGTTTCCATCAAAATAAACTATGAAAATAGCCAATAATGTGTTGCATATAGGCGGTATTTGCATAAAATGCATATAAGCGTTGTATAAATGTATTAGAAATTGAAACACCAAAGTTTTAAATTGATATTTTGAGTTTTCTTTTTTGATTTTCCGGTTGTTTCTGGCTCCTTTAATTTACTAAATTAAATTTAAAGTTGTCTTGTTGTTATAAGGAAATTCGTGTTTAACGCTAACTTGGCCAACTAGTTTTAAGTACTAAAGAAAATGTTAGTTCTGTGTATAGTTAATAGTGGTTTAAGGATCAGCATCATCTGGCTTTTCCTCTTCCGCCTCAGAAGCGTCTTCTTTGTCTGATGCGGAGTGCTTGTCCCTCTCCGTTCGCAGTTCCTCGGAGATTTTCTTAACAGCCTCTAAGTCGTGGAGTTTAATCCTTCTATTGTTGGGATCCAAGCAGTTCACTTTGACCTCTATGAAGTCGCTCGTCTGCTGATCATCCCAGCTGGAGTACTGGAAGGATGAATAAAGGGTTACTTATTGATATTCATCATCTTAACTAACTTACCACTGAACTGGAGGTGAACAGCAGTTCCTCCTCCTCTGAAGCCGACTTGACCCTCAGATATTTCTGGAGTAGATTAGTCTGCTCATCCTTGCGCCATAGGCATAACCGATTGTTCTTCAGCCAGTCGTTCTCCAAGAGATCCGCCTTCTTAACCAGCAAATCCAACTGATTTAGTTTAACAAACTGCTTTTTGGGGGGCAGACTTTGTGGCCTCTTTGATGTACTGGCCGAGGGATAGTCAAAGTCATCGTCGCTGGGATCCGTTTCTAGGTCATCCTCTTCGTCGGACTCTTCGTCGCTCACCTTGGCCATGCGGCGTTTGGCCTTCGAGGCATTGGCTGCCGCCGCCGATTTCCGCTTCCTGCCGCCATCAGAGCCTGATGGCTTCGAGGGCCGCTTTTTGGTGGGCCGCCAGTCCTCTTCGGAGTCAGAATCATCGTCCGGACTAAAGTCATCCTCGTCGCTCTCCTCGAAAGTGGTTGTCACCAGTTCCGTGCGACTCCGCATCCTATTGGGAAAATTCTCTATTCCTGCTGTTTTTAATGAACTGACCGCTCATAAACTTGCAGCAAATGCTGCTGCTGCTGTTGCTGCTGTGGCTGCTGCGTCTCAAAGCTGACTGAAAATTTTATTGTTGACTCCGAAAAGCCCATTCCATTGCCCGCACAAGGGGTCTCCCTGATTTATCCTTCAAGGGTTGCAGCTCGTCCTCTCTTTTTCAGAAGAAGCTTTTTTGATGCAAAGCTCTACAGCGTTGCATCTTTTATAAGGTAATTCGGAAAAAGTTTAGCAATGGGAAAAGCTTATAAAGACTTTTCTATTAAAAGAAGTCCTGCAACGCATCCTCCAAGCTTTTGGCGGAATACTAAGAGCTTGATTTTCGGACTTAAATTAGGTCAAACCTTAAATTCCTTATGCATTTTTCCGAATTTTTAGAGAATTATTTATTCCTAATCAACAGTTGGTGATTTTTTTTAAAATCTTTGGTTTATTCATTTTATTTGATAAAATACTTTTTTTTTAATTAGCTACCAAAAAATAATTTTAAATTTTTTTTCTTTACCAATTTAATAAAAAAATCCGAAAGATACTCCAAATAGGTATTTATTTCCCAAATTTAGAAGCTTTTATTCCCAAATTAAGTTTGATGGCCATTTATGAATTAAGAAATAAGTTAACAAACCCAAGTTTTTTTCTATTGTATATTTTATTTAAACATTTACATAAAGCTGGACATTGGAGCACACACACTAAGAGTACTACTACATATTTATTATGAATTAATTATTATTTTCTACCTTCGTTGAAGTATTTTCTATGCAAATAATTTCCAAACTTTCCATCAAGTTGACTAATTTACGCTTAATATCCATTAATATAACCTAAAAGGAGTAATCAATCCTCCATCGATTTGGATTATCTTTTCTATTAGACCTTTAGGTGGCGCTATACGCGCGTGGGCGTGCCATATATAGCTCCTGATCCGACTCCAGATCCAAGACCAACATTATTACGGCGCTGGGCCAAGGGCGAGGCTGGCTGGGGGGTCGGTCCATTGTTGTTGTTGAGGCGACGCTGCTGGCTGTCCGAATAGGCGCGTTCTACAAGTTGGGTAAAGTTTCGGTTTATCTATATCTTTTGGTTGATATATATATGTATCCCGATCTTGTCATGCACTATGGAGTAGCCTGTCCCCTGGAGACTTTGTGTTACATGCACAGTTTGGTTTTTAAGGAGAGTTTACCACATATTTTCTGATTCTTCTTTAAAGTGGATAACATGCAAAAGTAAAATTGTAAAAAATATATATTATAGGGGGTATTATTATTTATGATCTTAATGAAAGATGAGTGGTATGCGGGGTGGTGCGGATTTATTTTAAATATATTTATTTACAAAGCTAAAATGTAATTATATAAAAATAAGATAACCAGTTGCAGTCCATTAAAATAAAAATATTTTAAAAATATGTCACTAAATGTAATAATCTAAACATGTCTCAAAACATTAAAAGAACTTCTTAGTTTAAAAAAACATGAATTATAAAGTTAAATAGTTTCTAAGTTTATACAAAAATATATAAAGTATTTTTAATATTAAATCTTGACTAATAATCTTCATAATCTAATTTAAAGGCATTAAAAATACAATTTAAAAACAAATAAATATACAGTAAATATCCTGACATAATAAATATATATAAGCAAACTTAAAAATATTATAGAACTATCAAACTTATGACTTCTAACATTCACTAAATCATTCCAAAAACTAATCCCAAACCAAAATGAACTTAAATCCATCCCATAACCATGCCAGATGAACGATGAGAAGTGCAAGCAAAACCATAGAAATCCTCAAACATACCTCGGAATTTCAGACCCTGAGCCTCGTTGATGATGGCCGCCAAGGCGGGATGTTGGTACCGCTCCCGAAAGATAGCCGATCCATTCATCCTGTCCGATCCATTGGTATTACCATTCAGGGTACCCATATTACCATTACCATTGCCATGGTGCATCATCATCAGCTTGTGCTGGGGCGTATGCTGGGGCGTCAGTGAAGTGGGGGGTGTGGCATTACCATTCTTATAGTAACGATTCTGATTGGGATCATAGGTGGCCTGCTGGTCTTGGTTCTGATTCAGGCGATTGGCCATTTTGATCGAAGCGCAACGATCCTCTTCGTTGTTGCGCATCTTGAGGATGCGCTGATCCTGCACTGAGTATCTCGATCCATGTAGGGAGTTGATCTGATTGAGATTACTGACCTGGCTGCTCAGTTTCTTGGCCCGAAAACTGCCACCTGGCGATGAGTTGTTTAGGAGAGTTCCCCTCGAGGAACTACCATTCGTCTCGGTGCTATCCCTGCTGGCCTCTCGATAACTCGAAGGGCGGTGTGTTGAGGGGGGCGTGTCCAGGCCACTATCATGGGCCGAGCAGTCCAGTTCGGTTTTGGCCAGGCCAACATTGCTGCCTCCGCCAGTGGGTAACATGGGTTGAACTATAGGATAGGATATATCAGATATAAGTTAAAATATAAGAAAAGTTCTGAAAGAAAACCCACCTGAGTGCCTCATATCAGTGGGCGCCCTTGGCTTCCGATACAGCCAATCCCTGTCCAGTTCGTTGCCATTATCCGGAGTAGCGCTCACCCCCCGGAAAAGTCTAGGTCTTCTCAGCTGAACCTCCGTCTCTTCGGTTTCCTCATCCACCACCTGGTTAGAACCAAAGCTACTGTTGATGAAGATCCTCCTCGGTGATCCATAGAGTGCCCCAGCCTGAGTGAAACTGTTCTGGGCTGAGACATAACCATTGGAATACCGACTGAGATTGGCGTTGCTGTGGTGTGGGATCTTCTGCGGCGTCGAGTGGTTCGTGCTGATGCCACTCAAGTGGTGATTGTGATTCTCATTGTTCAGGGCACTCAGATCCGGCACAGAGTCGGAGAAGAGGAAGGGATTGGCTCCGGCATAGCCATTTAGACTGCCAGCTCCGATTTTATGACGGGCCAGGCCTCCTGTTCCATTAGTCATCAGCCAATCATCCAGAGCACTCGAGTAAGTCCCTCCTAGACCAAAGTGCTGGAACTGCAGCGAGGCATGGGAAACAGGGGCAGCCAAGGAGGCTCTCGATCTAGGTCCTTGGGCGATCTTCAGGGCTCGTCTGCGCTCCTTGGAGGTCATTGTGCATTCCTGAAAGGTGAAGGAAAATGTTTAGTTTGAGTTGAAATGGTTAATGTTAAGCTTGGTGAACGTCTTAGCAAGCCTAAAAGCTTTTATTTTATTCAAAAATCATAAGATTTTCATTTCTTCTCAGACTTCAATTTACAAAATTAGTTACTAAGAATTTTCAGATAATTTTCCAAGCTCAGCTAGATCTACTATTTAACCATTTCATGGCCACTCACCTCCAGCAGCTCGAACCAGTCCTCGAGGCCATCATCGCAGCGTAGGAGAACGCGACCCTCGCGTCCCAGTAGCAGGCCAATGGCGCTGTAGGAGCGCCGATTCAGCCACTCCACCTTCTCCACGTCCACCAGCTTGACCTGAAGCGAAACCACAGAAGACAATGCAAATCGTTAGACAATCAAGTTAAAGGTTATGCAAACGTTTTTCCGCTGAATCTAAAACACAAAGATTTGCCCGGGTCACACTCAGTGGGGCAGCTGAGAGTTTAGTTTGCAATTGTATTGGCTGGGAAATGGGTCTTGCAGTTGGTAGATGGTTAATGACTATGGTTAGCTGACATTAATGCAAGAAAATGTTCAATAATAGTATATAATTTAGAAGTAAGATTTGGGTTAACAGCTTTTCTTCAAGATTATATATCAGATATCTTATTGGAATATCAAATTTTAAGATTTATTCACAGAGGAAGACAAGTTCCTGAACTAACTAAAGGAAAATGCTGAACACCAACATAGAAACTAACTACTTTTCCTGAATGATGCACCAATTAGTCTGTCAGAGCCCTTTACTTTGGTCTAGAACATGGCCTCCTTACTTTTGCATTTTGCAACTTGGTTAAAAGTCATTAGGCCAGCAGGTCTCATCTCTTCGCTTCCCCGAACTTAATTTCCCTGCTTTCCCCGTAGGGAGCACAAACTTTTTTCAACATTCTGAACTTTTTATTGAACTTATTTTTGCTGTCTTCTTTTTCCTACTGCTTGTAGCCCTTGTTTATGAGGAAAACTTTAACATTGCCGGCGATTCATCGTGGCTGTCGCTCGCTTATGGCCAAGAACTATGCGAGGCCATTAGGCAAATATGTCAGCAGTCCCAGAAAACTGGGGGAAAAATCAAGAAGCTGAGGCCGAGGCATTGGTAGCAACCGCGTGTGGCAATTAGCCAAGTAATGCAGCCCCTCTAAGTTCCTCTCTTTCTTACTTTTTTTTTTTTTTTTATTTATTTCTCTCAATTGGTTCCATCTCTCTTCTTCTAATGGCAGACATAATTAAGTTTTTAAAGTTCTGGGGGCAGTCTTCTTTTTTTCCTGATTCTTTTTTTTATGATAAATAGTGGCGGCAGTGGATGGAATATGGAATACTCGTATGTTGCATTCTCGTTTGATGGATGATTTAAGGGGGATTTGCTTGTGCCACGATCAAAGATCAAAATTAGAAGTCTCTGGGAAAGCTCTCTCTTCGTGATACTTATTTTGGTGTGTGGGTGGCAACATGCAACAAATACATCAATTAAAATATTTATGAGATCAGCCTAGAAGATCCCAAGAAAAGATGTCAAATCTCAGATGTAGATCGTTTAGTAAAGTCTTTAAAGAATTGTTTTTTAAAAATAAAACTAAGCTGTGATGAGTTTTGTGTTGCTTAATATGACATTCCAAATTGCTGTTTTTATTTTGAATTTAATTTTTGTAATTTTAAGTTTCCTCTTTCATTTTAAGACTTAAATTTTACACATTTATCTCCACTTTAGTGACCTTTCTGGTTCCCTGCCCATAACTCTGACCTCACTCTTTCGTAAATATGTGCCAACCCACAATCAATGGCTAAACATTTTCCAAATTTCCATTTTACGTTTTACGTTATTTGTTAACAAATAAAGTGCTCAAGGTCGGATATTGATCGGACTGCTGCTGGTGGCTCGCCTGTTATTATTTATTATTGTTATTTATGAGTTTTATGAACAAATCGCATTGTTGTTGCTGTCGCTTTATATTTTGACATGTCTAACAGCATGAGCTGTCAAAACTAACACAAAAGCTTAACTGATCATTGGTTTAGATTTTTGGCATTGCAATTTTGGGAAAGTCAAATTGAAGGCAGGCGCGTGCGGTTTTAAATTTTAAGATTTTATTTGATTTGGCTTTTTATTATCTTAAAGTAACTGCAAACTTCTTCATTGATTTACTTTCTTTATCAACTTTTAATCATGCCTTCTCACATTAATGAACATAATTAAATACTCCATCGATACCTGATACTTCAGTGCAACCCAATTAATAATGCTCATTAACGTTGAACAGACGGAAATTGCATTTCCCCATGGGCAGGGTTGGGCCCCTCCTTCTTTTTCATCATCATCCACTTGCCGCCCATCCAAGGACAAAAATCAATATTGCTTTCAATCACTGTCAAAGTGCAAAACTGCAAAATTCTGAGGCGTACAACTTTCCCAGCCCGCCGGCAAATGAACCGAGGCATCAACATCAAAATCATTCCAACCCAGCCAACCTATTTTCCCTCCCTCCCAATTCCCTCTCATTTTCATCACCTGTTATTATGCCCGATTGATTTCCCCCCGGGTAGATGCCAGACAATCAGACCAATTTTATTTCAACATTTTTACTAAGTTTTTGCGGTAAAATAGAAGGTTTGGTATGGTTAAATAATTCTGTCTAAATATCGAAATTTTTCTTAATTTAAAGAGTGTTCCGATAATTTTACGTTAAGGAGTAAGTATTACCTTTCTTTTGACAGGTAAATATCGTCACAAAGTCATACAAAAATCGAATTAAATAATTAGTCTGAGACCAGCTGTCTTCCAGCTCACTCGATCTTCTTTCCGGCTAATTGATTGAGTTGATTACATTGACGAGGCAATATTGAATCATTGTAGTGTCAATAAAACATCAATGAACAAGCGAAAATCACACAAAGAAGCGATAAAATGAGATGCCGCCTTACTTTGCTCATTAATGAGTCGAGTTTTTTTTTGTAATATCTCCATCTCTTTCACACCCCCACACTACCTCTCTTTTACACCTCTTTTTATGTTCAATGACTCGTTCATGGCTGAGTTCCCTGGGTTTGGGTCCTCGCTAATTGAACGTGGGTGGCTGTCTTTGATGTTGACCATTTTTGGTTGAATTTATTTGCTCTTTATTTTGAAGGTCACTAAGGTGTTTATTTGGTAAGAAATTTTACAGGGAAAACACCTAAATAACTCATTTAATACTTGACGGGGTTTTTCAAATGAAAAAAGCCAATTTTCCGAAACGAATTACCTAATATTTTTCTAGCCGAGCGAATTTTCTTCTCGTAATTTCTTTATAAATGTTTTCCCTCACATTAAATAAGTTAATCTCCCGCATGCTGCGGGATTTTTCACCATTTAGTTCCACCTATGTCATTATTTTCCCCCGTGCCTGCTTTTCCTGCTTTTCCCTCTCGGCTTCTCTCTTGCTTGCTTATTTACTTTGGAAAATTGCCCGCACAACAACGGCGAGCATTTTTCACTTTGTTTTATTTGCCATTAAAAAAAAAATTTATTTTAATTTTAAATTAAACTGTAAACAACAACAACCTGCCGCTGGTCTTGTTGTATTGACACTGCTTTTAAAAGAGACAGAGAGAGAGATTTTAGCGGAAAAGTGCCAAAAAAAAAAAAAGGAAAAACGACACAAATTTAAAACAAAATAAAATTAAATTCAACAGAGGGGAAAAAACAGAAAGAAAAAAACTTTAAAGTAATTTTCCCATGATCTCTTTGCAGTGGCGTGGCATTTGTTGTTTTCGTTGTTGCTACTGCAGTTTTATGTGCATTTTCCTTATTTGTTTAAGCAGCAGCAACAACAACAACAACAAGAGCAACAATAATGTCATCAGCAACAACAACAAACAGCAGCAGCAGCTAAGGTAATGAACAATTTCACGGCAATCGTGTGTTTAATACTCTAACTTGGAATTTACTAGACTTTTTGGGAGATTAAAAATATAGAAAAATTAACAAAAAGTGGATTAAAATATATTTAAAAATAATTTGTGATATCCCTTCTTTAACGTAAGATATTAGATTTTATACTGGGAACTAAAAAAGCTGCTCCCAAGTTAAAGTTCCTCTTCTCTCTCATATCTCTGCTTTGATTTGTTTAAATATTAATTTCAAGTACAAATTTTAGTGAAAAATCATCGAAATTTAATCTTTTTCTAAACAATATTTATGGATTTTATAAAACCTTTCAAAGAATCCTCAAAAATTTCAACTTTTTCCATATAAAGTTACCCAAAGAGTGTTTATATTTCGACTTTTCGCGATTAGCATTTTTCTGTTTTTGTTTTTCGCAGTTTTTTGTTGCTATTGCAGTTGTTCCTGTTTGTGTTTGGTTGTTGCCCGTTTGCCTTTAGTATTTCCAGTATTTGCTTTGTTTTTCATCGCAAAAGTTGTGCGGAGTGAGCCAAGGAGAGGCACTCTAAGCTGGGGGAACCCCCAAGATGCAGCAGCAGGAGGGGCAAATAGTTGGGCAAATTAACATGCAGTAGATGCAAGTTTTAGCCAATTAGTTGAGCTTAGTTGAAGTTTTTCAATCCGTTTTTATTCCCTCTTCGATCAGGATTTGTTTTGTCTTGAAAAAATATATAAAAAAAAACAGAAGATTTGCCTATCAATTCAGACTCCGTACATGGTGGGATATCTTTCATCTACCTGGCTGAAAAGTCAATTGCAAAACGTGACTAGATGTGTCTGGCATTGTCAACCCAAAAAGACTTCATTTATAAATATATATATTTTTTTCAACTTAAGGTGTGTCCTAGCCCCCCTCTATAAAACAGGTTATATATTCATGGGTTGCTCATAATGCCGGGCATAAATCTTTCCCTCTTTTCTGCAATAGAATTTAACACAATGCGCAGTAAATATAAAAGTTTGTCTGACACTTCAGTGGAGGAGAGTCGTTTATAAAGGCAATATGAACTCAAAAACTTTAAAAGGAACTAAGATTTGTAGCTCTTTCTCTTTGTTAAGCTACTATACTATATACTCCTTGAAGTCTGTAAGCACTTACCTTGAAGATAAACTGTCCCATATCGGAGGCACGTTCATTGGCCGATCCCGAGGCTCTCTTGAAGCAGTGCAAGTAGTCACGAGTGAGCAAAAAGTATCTGCAAGTAGATAGATTGGCTTAAGTCAGTAAGTCAAATCCATTGACCTTTAAATCCGTATCCGCTGGTAGTCTTCAGTTAAAGGTCAGACACTCAAAATCAAAATCAAAATCAAAACCAAAATTGTTAAATCCCTTCTCTTGCGATGGCATTTTGGCTATGTTATTAATAAATCATAAATCATGCGCAAAAAAATGAAACGCTGCCCTGATTTTTATGACTTCCTCAAGACGATAATCATATTATTTTTTATTTTATTGTTTTGCAGCAATGAAAATCGACTTTATTAATGTGGCAAGCGCTATTCTGCTGCACATAAATTCCACAAATTCGTTTATTATGTATGAGATTCTTGGGAAGCCAAAAAAGTTCTCAAGCTGAACAGAAATTTTAAATCGCTTTTTGGTTGGCTTTCAAAATCGTTCAACTAATAGCTTACTTCCTTGGTGGAAGTTCTCATTTTGTTTGGCTTATTAACGTGGTCAAGCAAATTGAGCTAAGAAAATTGTTGTTTGGTTTTTCTGCGCTGGGTGGCTTGGGCTGGGGCTTGCCTTCTAAGATCGGATAATGATCAGTTCTGTTATTAGTTAAGCTTGGTAAACGTTTGAGGCATGCAACTTAACCAGATCTAAGGCAAAGATGGGAAAACTGAATCTGGGAAAAAGTAAGGAGAAAGTTGTTCCAAGAATGACCAGCAAAAAACTTATTTCCAGGGAAATATTCGATCTAGCTAACTTTTTGGGTTTTATTTTTAATTAAATTTTCATTTAGGAATATAAATAGATTAGAAATCTCTAATATTATACGTTCCAAAGCCCCTTCAACCTGCTTTTTAATAAATATAAATCCAATCCAAACCAATTTATTAGCAAAATGTTATCAAAATAATTTTTCGAAATATTTGCGGAAATCTCACAAATGTATTTCCATCAGCAAATCCTTTTAATATTTATTTAATAAATTATATTTAGCTTTTTGCCAAAATGCAAATCAAATATTTGCCTTTTAAGTGCCAGGCTTAGTTGGTCATTAAGTGTCAATTAAAAATGTGCCGATAAATGATAAGCGATAAACGTAATTATCGGTTCAAAAGGCAAACAGCAGCAGCAGCAGCAGCCGACAGTCAAACAAAAACACGGAATTGCATTTGCAACATAATTAAATTTCAATTAAATGCAGTATCAAAGGGGGTGGGGGGTGAATCAAATAAGAGCTGTCAAATGGTTGACCCCTCCCCCCATTAGCATTATCTGGGAAAAAGGACGAGCCAGCATGCAGCCACTGTCAATTATGCCCTTTTTCGCAATTAACAACCCTTGGAGGTTGTGAAATATTTTTGCATATTTTCCGGGGGCTGCCAGAGGGGGCGTGCGTCCATGTCTGCTCTTTCAGCCAATGCAGATTGCGGTGGAGGTAAATTTAAAAGCGCTTAACAGTTATACAGCCCCCCAAGGATCACAGAGAAGAAAAGGGTCAACGAATTGGAAATTTGAAAATTATAAAAAATAAGAAAATTCCCAAACAATTTATAGATATTTTCTAATGAATTTCTCTATTTAGTAACCAAAAGTAATGAAAGGGATTTTGATTTTGATCGACTTTCTTCTAAAGTTTCTTATTTAAAAGAAGACCTTTTCCCAAATTTCCAAAATTTATGTCCAGTGTACTCACCGTTCCTTCCAGCGCGAGAAGAGTCGATCCCTTTGCTGCCAGAGCAGTCCTCGTTTAATGGGTCCTGTCATGGAGGCCACCGGAATGCGTCCTGCCAGCAAGGATTGCTGCAAAATCATGAAAGTGAGATAAAGATAGAGATAGAGCCGCAAATTGTTGCTGATTGTGCATTCTTGAAATTTAATTATGGGAATATTTGTGTGCATGTAGTTAACGCACTTCTATGCCTCAGCTGTTTTGCTCGTAAATTCTTTTATAAATTATTAAAAAGCCCAGCCATGGAAAAGCCAATTTCCCACACACACACACTCTCCCTCTAGACAGGAGCGAGGAGAAAGCGGGAATACAGGGAGAAAGCGAGGCGCACTCTCGTGAGCTGATGATTAATGTTGCTTTAAAAACGCTGCCACTTGCGCCACTTTTCAACCCTCTGCCACACCCACCGCCCACAGCCCATTGCCTCCCTATACCTCCCTCCATATATATTCCCATTCTCGCCTCGTACCATTACTCTGCCATAAATTCTGTTTGCCGCCGTGTGCGGTTTGTTGTTTTGGCTTTATGAGCATTAAGGCAATTTATTATCAACCATAGTGTTACAATATTTTACATTAACAAATGCTGCCTGGTTGCTGCTGCTGGCTTATTCAGTGTAATTATCTTGTATCTGAATGTGTTTTTTTTATCTGTGGTTGCAGATTAAATTAGCTATTAAAAAAGGTGATCAGAGATCGATTTGTGTTTTAAGTTTGAGACTGAAAAAGATATAGTGGAGTATCACATCAATAAAATTTGTCAACTTGATGCAAGCCATCAAACGATTTGGCCATTTTAATAACTCAATTTGAACTTTATCCAGCTACCTTACCTCTTTCTAGCAAATTATCAGCTTTGTCTCCGCTTGAAAAATGTCAAACATTTCGTGGCCCATAAAATCAGGCAAACAAAAGCGAATCAAATTGATTCGAAATGAGCTGCTTAAAATGCCAAAAGCCAAAAAGCACAGCCACTGATGAAATAATAAAAAAACCAAAAATGTAAAAATCTATCAAAATGCTAACGGGTCGTTTTATTTTCGAATTGACAAAAGCGTGAAACCAAAATCGAAATTATAATTGAGATGGAGATGGAGAGTCGAAGAAGCTGCAAGGTAGCGAAAAACCATTTCTGCCGAAATCTAGTAAAATAGCCCAAAAACGAGGCAATAAATCTTGTTGGGCGCTGAAATTGAAGATACTTTTCTTGTTTTATCTCCGCTGAAGCATCTATCCTATAAATGGGAATGAAGTTCTTAGCCAGTTCTGGTCAAATTAATGTTAGTCACGAGCTACGACCAGACAAAAGCCAACTTCAAGCTCAATATGGTTAAGAGGGAAGAGCCAGCTGAAGGAAAGAGTTCGACCGGATAATGCCCAGCAAAAAGGGAGAAGAAAAAAGGGATAAGAGTCGAAAAAACTCAGCTGAAACTTAATTTGGCGCATTAAAAACTATTGTGCTCTCGGAATGCCAAAAAGGAAAGAGAGCGCACGATGCTGGGGGAAAGAGAGAGGACGAAACGTGCTGCAGCCATTGCAGTTAATGAGGAAAATGAGTTTGCTTTTGCCATTTCGCAATTGGGGCCCCAATTTTCCTAGGTTCTGCTGTGGGCGAACTTGTGCTTGTAGATATTTATTTTTTCCTTTGTCTGATCAAATTAAATAGAATTGTGTGTCAAATCAATGGCTGAAGGGTGGTAAATAGCAGAAGTACTTGCTTAAGTTCAGTTTTCTATTAGCCAAAAGTTAGCTTTTGTTAAGACTAAGAAAAAACCGCATCATCACTGAGACCAACCTCTTTATCTCCCTGCCCAGCTACATATTTGCTTTGTATTTTTGTATCATTAAAGATAAATTATCATATCTTATCCTTCTTTAAACACTAATATTTAACTAAATAAATGTATTTTTAATTAGCACAGAAAATAGACAAAGAAATCAACTGAGAAACTGAGAACAAAAGTTTAAAAGTCAGCAAAAAAAGGTGTTATTTAAGTTTCCATAAGCCAAGCAAATTTGTTACCACTTTTCCAGACTTCCTATGGTAAAAGGTGTTGATTTTGTTTTTGTGCAACTTTCCAGTGATTATATAACCCATATGACTTCAATGTCTTAATGCCCTCATTTTCATTGCATTTCATGTCATTTCATTTCGTGTGTGTGAAAACTTTAGCAATTGCAGAAATTCCTTTTCCCTACCAACACGGTTGATTATTTATGCTGCGGGTTTTTACTGTTTGTAGCCAGCAAAAGCTGGCAGACATGGTAACAAAAAATTATATATATGTACATATTTCTGGTATTTCTTTTTGATTGCACTCAACTGGGCTTATATAATTACCTGGCCACGTTTGGGTCTGCCTGGCTCCCCTTTTATGGTGGCTTTTAATTGAGGTTGCACTGGCCGAGGATGAGGCCTGAAAAATCTCCGCCACACAAACAGATTTTTGATGGATTCACACCCAGTTTATATATATCTTTTTTAACACTGAAACGCCAACACAGAACCTGCAGCCTCTTCAAGCAATTATGAATTGTTAAATGTTCACTTCGGCTTTTGGTTTCCGTTCACCCAACCCAAATGTGTCATCACCTACATCGGTTTCATCTACAAGTTGTACTCAAAATGTATCAATATATATCTGATTTTATATATATCTATTTAAAGATTTCCAACACGAATTAGTAATAGCAATCTCCCCCTCTTGTAATCAGCCAATTTCCATGCGGAATCCCATTTTGTCATAAAGTGTGGAAAATTCCAAAGAATTTCTAAAAACTTATCATACCTCATATTCCATAATTATAGGCCCCAAAAATCAGCCAAAAGAAAACACATTTACATTTTGGGAATACAATTTACATGGTCAAAACGTGATGAAAATTTCAATTCAAATCTATTTTTTGTTTAGCTACTAAATTATGTTTATTTTTGAAAGAGCTTATTAATCGATGTTTGTCTTCATTTGTTAGATTAGTTTGTTTGAAAGAAAACAGAAGAGAAGTTACTTATATTGATAATGTAAATAATTTAAAAATATGAAGAAAAAATATATCGTTTTTAAAGGAAAGAAATAACTTTGTAATCTTAAAAATTCCAAGAAAAAGGAAAGCCCTTACTTATGATTATATTCTTGGGTTTTTTTCTTCTGGATAAATAAAAAGTTTATCAAATACATTTTTTTTTTATCCATAAGCAGAGTGTATATTAAACATTAAGATAACTCTTTATAATAACTTCTATTGCCTGATTAACCCATCAACATAGAAACATAAAACTCGGCTCTTTAAAACAATTACCGCTTTAAGAGGCCGCCTTTGAGTCAATGACTTTAATAACAAAAAACTTTTTTAATTTAATTATGCACACGCATCCGCAGACACAAAAACTACTTTCAGCGTGGGCGGTGGCGGGTTCAGTGAAAAGAACACACAAACACACAGTCACAGAGTGAAAATTTGTGCAACAGCTGGAAATGTGAGGGGGAAGTTGGGCCGGGCGACCCGGTAAAGAAAAAGCAAAATCAAATGGCATATGAAAAGGTGGGCCAGGAGGAGTTGTTGCTTTTTTATTTAATAAATATTTTTCTCTTTTTCTTTTGCCAGTTGAGAGCACAGCAAGTATTTATGACTCTAGTTGGATGAGTTAACATCAAAAGGCAAAAAAAGCAGTTCGGGAGCGGGAAAATGTTGAGCAAAAGTCAAATATAATCCGAAAATGAAAATGAAATTCAATTTGCCAACAAGTCATGTTGAAACAATGCCAAAAAGGTAACAAAAAGAATAGGGAAAAACCAATGTTTGCCTTCTTTTAATTGAAAGTCAACTAAAGTTGAAAGTTGCCTTTGCTTACCCAATGCAAATCCGTAGAGAAAAGCATCTCGTTTTTCGTATAAATATTAAAACACTTCCTTTAACACTTTGATTAAAATTTTCACAAGCAAAATCTTAAGAAGAGTTTTTCCTTTTCTATCTTCGTTATGGGTTAATTTGTCATTCGAGTTTCACTGCAGTTTCACTGAGACTTTGGCCAAGATCAGCCCGTACCGCACCAGCATCCATTGACGACTATTCAAAATTCTGTTGAGCAAAGATTTTCATGACAGAGTCCGCCTAAACATTTATTTTATTTGATTTTTTCCCCATCACATATGGCGAAAACAAGCCCAGTTCAAGGGGTCTAGCTGTGTGTGTGTGTTCTACACATGCAAAAAGTATCTAAGTATGTGAGTCTATGAGAGTATCTTTGTATCTTTGTATCTCTGTTGCGGCGCATTGTCGTCTGCCGTGACGTGACACACATGTGGGCAATTCTAAGCAGGCAAGCCATGAAGATTTTCGTTGCTGTTTCGCCGTTCTTGTTTTGGCCAAACATGTGCCTACGGTTTTTGGCTTTTATGGTTTATGTGTTAATAAGGCGACCTTCATGACCACAGAGCTCAGATTTTTCTAAGCTATGCTAGTCGTTAGTCAGCTTTTTCGGGTGGGCAAAACAAAAAACAACGAAAAGCCAAACAAACGCAACAAACGCCTGGCGATGTGGCAATGGGCGTGGTAAATGAATAAAAAATGAGAAATTTGTATTTATCTGCCTTGCCACATCAAAGATAATCGTATTTTTGGTCAAGTTTCTTAAGAATTTTGGTTATTTGAAAAGAAAATTTAAGGGGTATTAAGAGATACAAAATGTTGCCTTACAAAACATGTTTAAAAGTTAAGTTGGCAAATCAATAAACAAATATGGTTTAGACTTCCTTATCGCAGAAGTTTGTTCCTTCATAAGCACATTTTTTAGGTACCTAGCTCCCAAGCCTTTTCTTTCATTTGACTTATGTTTGACTACCCCTTATGGTCTTTCCCCCTAGGTGCTTACTAGGCAGTCATAACTCACAATCTCCTCAAGCAATTCACCCCATCGACCTTCAACCGACTCCCTCCAGTCTAGCCAAAATACATTCTATCATTTTTGTGGTGCCTGTCTGCCAGTCACTCAGAATGCCAAGCTGCGTTTCAATTCCAATTGCCTTTGGTCTTTCCTTTTTTCCATCCAAAAATGCATTTGGCAAACGGGAAATGGGAAATAGCGCCTGCCAGTGTCTCAGTGGGGAGGCTGCCCAAAAAGAAACCCATTTTATGCCCAAAGAAAGAACCTCAAAACGAGATGTGTTCGCACGGTTAGGAGCCCAAAAAAATAAGAATATAAAACCAGATCCTGCCGAGAAATGAATAAAAGAGCAGAAACCAGAACGAGAATTTCAGTTGTTCTCGTGGCTTCTCAGAAATTCATCATCAGCAGCATCATCTCATCCACATCGTGTTAGATATTTGCCCCTGGATGAGGCGTCTCTGGGTCTGGGTCTGGCCAAAGAGAACAAATTAAATGAAATAAATGCTGGGGGAAAAAAGTGTTGAGAATTTGGCGTGCCATGTGTGCCAAAAAAAAAGGGAATAAAACCAAGGACAGGAAGCGCAGTCCTTGAACTTGGCCGAGGAAGTGGTGGCCCATTGGCTGTGAGCCTAAATGGTATGTTTTTTTCTTTGATCGTCGGAGGAAGGGCTGGGCCTCCGGGTGCCTCAACTTTGCAGCACATGTGGTGTTTGTTCTCAAAAGAAGATTTAGCGCATCAGAAGAAAAATTTATGTTTGGTTTTTGCAATGAAGTAAAGATAATTCCTTCCCTTTTTTCATATAATTTGAATATAAAACTCATGATTTCAGTTTTTAAAGATTATCGCAACCTAACTTTAAAGGGTATCTTATATTTCACAGACTATAATTCCCACCTAGTGTTTTATTTTTAAAAATTCTATGCATATTTTTGCCAAGTTTTCCATCTCATTCGAGGTGTATGCCCATCTCCCTCCTGGGACTATGGCGTCATGCGGGCTCGATAAAAATCATGAGGTTTTTCTTTTACTTAGACAGTAGACAGGAGCGCGCTCAGAGGTGATGTGCGAAAAGATGCTGGGAAACTGCAATTGATGGCGGACTCTAAGCGAAGGAACTTCCCGCACATGTTTCTGTATCTTATGTGTATCTATTAGCCGCAACTATGTAAGGTCACGCCTAGCATGAGACCGCCCCCCCCTAAAAACCATTTCACATGCTGTTCTTAGTCAACTTTGTATCTAGATAAACGCGGGGTGTGAGAGAGTGGCTGCTGCCTGGCCGTGCCTGATTATGACATTTAACATGAACACGTAGCGAGTGCAGCACATGCGAGCGACAGCTCTGGTATTTTCTTAGCAGTCTTTTGGTATTTCTTCTTCTCTGGTCACAGCATGACACGCCTGACAGAAGAGGCCAAGAAAACTGCAATCCAGCGAGTTTTTCTCTTTCATTTTTTTTTTGATTATCTTTTAACATTGTTGTGTTTTCTTCTTCTTTTTTTGGCCCTGACTACAACCTGACTGGCATTTGAGAGGCCAAAAAGTAACTCTCTTCATGACTCAAATTGGTAGTTTAAAGGAAATCTAGATAGGAGTTGGCAGCGAATTGGCAGGTTAATCTAATGATAGTGCTTACTTCTTGATCGAAATTTAGCCAATTGGTTTGTTTGTTCGAACTCACCTGGAAAGAGAAAGAAGTTACAGAAAACTTAGTATTACAAAGTTATAAAATGGTAGAATTTAAAGCTCTTTAAAACTCCCAAAGAGCTTAAAGACCTCACAAGAATATCAGTTCATTAAAGATTGGAATCTCTGACTCTTAATCAAAGAGCTAAATACTGCTCAAGCTGCTTAAGGTTTAACCTACAAGAAAAGTTCAGAAACATTTCTAAATGAATTTTTGGGAAAAATCTCTAACTCTGTCCACCTGCAAGGCCAGCCAATGCATTTGCTTATTATATTACAAATTTGTATAATAAAAACATTCCAAAAGTGCTGGGAAAACTACAAAAAATACTCACCAGCCTGCTTTGAGAAGTCAAAACGAGTTCTATTAAAATAAAAAAGCGACTTCGGCCGACAGCCAGTCAAGTGTGCCAGCGACTTATTTGTCACTAGAGCTGCTTTTTTTTTTTTATGATCGCGATTGAGTGTGGGCGATTGAACACTCGTTCTGACTGAGAGAGAGAGAGAGACAGACAACACCCGGACAGACGGCCAGTCTAAGGTCAGGCGTTCACCAGTGCGTATGAGTAATAATTTCTTAATTGTCGCTTTTAGCAATTAATGAAAGCGACGCGCTCTATAAATACATTATCATCCAGAGTCAATAGTAACTCGCTTTTTATGCCGTTTTCAAGTGCAATAATCTTTTTTGTTTGCACAAAAATTTTCTCTTGTTATTTCGGGCTTTTATTTTCGTTCGCTTCGCTGCCTTTAATTGTTTATGTAAATTAGAATTTTGTATTTTTTCGCTTTTAGCTGATGAGCAATTTAAATACACACGACGAGGAAGTGAATGTGCGCATCAGCGGCAGAAATGAAGAGAGGAAAACGGAGTGTATCTCTTGGCTACTTTTGGCACGACTCGCAAACTGATTCACAGGGCAAACAAAGGTGTGAAGAACATTAGGCAGTCAATATTAACAAGATGTTTTCGGCTAACAGGGGGCTTGGTTTAGTAAACCGCAAACTAAATTCCAAAATCAACTAACTGACTTTGAGACTCTCTAACCAAATTGGCTGTCAGTTAAATTGTTGAATCGGCAGGTGGGTAAAGTTTGTCCAATAGTTCATCCATCTTCATATATGTCCAGATACATCCAGCTACCAGGCTTTCCACTTCCGTTTCCTGGCCTGTTCAGTCAAATTAGCTTTGCTCTGCCTGCCTGCCTGCCTGCCTGCCGTTAGTTAGCCAACTTTCAGTCCTCGCTTTTGTAACACTCGTCTAGACTTTCGTTTGATTGAGCGATGCGATGACAAGAGACATCTCTGTCACGGCTGTTGCCAGGTCAGCCAACTGCCGGCTAACAAGCATTGGCATCTCCTGCCCCCTACCCCTTGCCACTTGCCACTGCCACTTGGGCATCGTGTTTTAACCAGCTCGCCACCACCACTCTCTCAGGTTCAATGCTTCAATTAAATTCGCTGTCAATCATTTTTCGAGCTTCACACTTTTGTTTAAAAAAATCGTGAACAATTTTATGAGTTGTTTTGATTAGGCGAAAATGACTGAAAGGTGTCTGCCAGCTAAATGGGATATTTTGGTTTTCACTTGTAATGTTAAGGGGGTGAAATTTTATTGAAAGCTGCGGTCAGTTTTAGGTATTTAGAAGGAAAATATATTAGATTCAAGGGAAGTTACGGAAAATGTGAGCATTCCTTAACCATCTTGGTGCATCTTCTTTCATTTTTGTTTAAATTATTAAAAATAATATTATTTTGAGGGCATTTTTGGGTGAGGGTAAAAGTAGTGAAAGGAGAACATGTACTACTTTCTATAAAATGGATAAAAATTACTCAAATATTATCTCTCCTTAAGTAAGTCTAAGAATCTAAGATAACATAACATAAGATGTCGTTTTCTTTTATGGATGTTGGAAAGGTTTTCCGTTTTAAGTCTACCTAAGTTTTCATTCAGTTTTTCCACTCTAAAATAGAATGAAATTTCAATTTTCTCTTTCATCAAACCGAAAAGAAACCTATTCTACTTACTCCCATATTATGGAAAGTAGAATCATTCCCATTTCATCTCTTTCTCACATTCTAAACATTCTAGTCCGATCACCGACTTCCGCTTCTTTGAAATAGTTCGCCTTAAGATTAGAGATTATTGATCTTGAATATTTTGCTTTCCTTTTATCATCGATTTACACCTTTGTCGCTGGGTTTGTCGCCCTATTCTCCTCCATTCTCCAACCTCCGCCCACTTTCCGATCTCAATCTTTCCGGCAGACAAAAGACGAACGCAAGCCAGCCTGCCCACAAGCCCAGCGATTTTGTGCCCCGGTCCGGGGCCGTGAGAACTGTGCCAGGTGAATATGCCTCGGCTGCCACTCGACCATTGTCAACAGCCAGTGGCAGGGAAAACTTTGCACTATTTTACCTATTTTCTTGTGCAATTATTTATAATAGCGCCCGGTTCTTCTGACATTAAGACCCGGGAAGCGATGCAGGTAGAACCCTACTCCTCGTACTCCTCCTTCAGACATTGTCTCGGTGTCCTGAGTTCATTAAGGGTAATGCATGCCAAAAAAGAGGGTGTTGGTCGAAACAAACAAAAAAGGATTGAAAGGAGAGACGGCACACTGTCTGACAAACCTACAGGCTGGCGCACACCCGCACATGTATCTGCGTATCCATGGGATGCCGGGATACCTTCTTAATGAACGCCTGTCGCCTAGCACCTGCTGCAGTTCTTAAGAAAATGTTCCCTCATTTGTCGGCTACCATATCCTGCAGGTAGGGAAGTGATTTTCCTTGGCTCTGACTATGGCTCTTAACTGTTTATAAATAATTAAATTGCAACCGGTTCGGGCCAGTAGTTGGGTATTGATTTTTTCAAAAAGGGAGTTGCTGGAGGAGTCTTGAGGATGAGAGTATACTAATCTATTGAGGAAGTTTTAAGGGGTATGTGATGGTAAGGTTTGCGGAGAATGCAGTATAGTTTTTAAGGATTTTTGATGATTTTCTATCTTAAAAACATTGGTCTTTGTAATAATTTGAGTAAAATCTGGTCTTATATCTATGTAGGATTTCACTTTGAAGATTTAAGATGGTTTCATTTTGAGTTTCCTAGCTTAGAATTTTGAATCTGTTTATCCTTATTATTTATATAATCAAAGATTAAGCAGACTTGACACAAAAGGAACGGATTTTCTGATGACTTAAGTAAGCCAATGGAAAGTCTTAACCAAACTAAATCATATGGAAAAATGTTCTTCTTTCTTGTTGCACTTTTTAAGACCGCCTTGCAGTCTGTCAATTTCTCCTAATTCATTGAGGGTGGGTGGTCTGACCCACAGAACAGACCATCTCAAGAACCTCCTAGGGGTTTCCCTTCCCAACGACTTCCCAACTTCCGCCAATCCAAGCCATACTACTTACGCTTCAGGAAGATATACATACATACCGCCCGCCCTGTGAGTGCACCAAACAGAAGTCTTACATGTGTTCCAGTGCTTTTGTTTTTACCGCCTGTCACATATGTCATAAGCAAAGTAAAGAAGTCTCGTATTTCCCAACAGTTGCTTATTAGCGTAGGTACTTGAAGGACCCTTGGCATCTGAGGAGGAGAAGGGGCAAGGTTGTGTGTGGGAAATACATGGCTATGTGCTTCTTGTTTCTTAGCCCCGCCCACTTTTTTATGACGTGCTAATGGGCGGTAAATATTTTTGTAAGCTTCATTGATTTCCAAGCATTGGGCATGGGTATGGGGGAATAACTCAAGTGGGTCATGTAAAATGAAGAAGCCAAATGACATGCAAGGCGAATGATAAATGGTTTGATATATGCAGAGCAAGAATATTAAATATAACAGTTTATTCTGTGTCAAAATAGGTAGATTATCACTTTATTAACATGATTTTTAAATAATTTTTTAAGCCTAAAACACGCACTTCCTATACCATAAGTTCGCCATCAACGCCCACCAGAAAAAAACCTACAAAACCTGCTGCTAATTTCAACACCTTAACTGTCCACAAATTAATAATTAATACACAAATATTTCGTATCATTTGCAGTGAGAAAACAAGTTGCTTTTCCGCCAAATGAAAATGAAAAACTGGTCAAGCGTTCGCGAGTGACATTTTCAAATGTGGCGAAAACGACTTTGGCAGCTCTCAGCCACTTTTGTGCTCGATAACTTGTCTAGAGAGTGAAATCGTTTGGACTGGGAAACTGGGAAAACTAGGAAAAGGAAAACAAGTGGCAGTGGAAAGCATGTGGCTCAAGAGATTTATCAGTGAGTCGTCTCCTGCCAGTCGGTATCATCATCATCATTAACCACGACGAGTCCTTTGTCATATTTTTATCATACAAAGGGAGGCAGGCAGAAAGGATCCATGGGAGCCACCAAGTTTTATGATAAATGAAATCTTTGGCTTGGTCAAAGTTTTTGTTGGTCTATTGTCCGTGAAAAGGAGTGAGGAGGGAATGGATGGCCTCTATCATTATTGTAATTTTCGAACAAAACACGCACGACTCTGGTTTCATTTGGACTCTGGCCAGGAATGGTATTTGGCCAGCTGACCGACAGACAACATGTGTGATTGATTGTAATTGAGGTTGGGAAAAGTTGTTGGTGTCAATGTCAAGAGTGAAACGGAATTGGTCCACATACAAAAAGCCGTTTGACACTTTATACATAGGCATTCTTCAAAGTTTTCCAAAGAATCAAAGAGGGTTTTAGCCATTAGTCAGCAAATCTATAGAATTTGCTGTTTTGTCAAATGGAAAATTGTAGTTAATGGTTAGGATTCCCCTCTAAACTTTAGTTGCTTAATAAGTTTAATACGGAACATCTGGTGGGTAACCCAATTATACTTCTAGTTTTCTGGCTGGAGTTCTGTAAAGTTTTGTAATTAGCCCAGCTTAGTTGACCCTCTTCACAGCAGTTAAGCCGAATTGTGGACTCATCTAATTAACACAGAAACCCTAGAAAACCCCCGGCAGAAACTA